GGGTTCAGAGCCCACTTCCTGGTACAACAGAGAAACTGAGGCCCAGAGGGGAAGCGTCTACACAAGCCCGTGGCCCCTGTGTCCCGTGTACAGCCCTGAGCCAGCAAAGAGGCAGCCCTTCCCGTAGGCCCGTTCCCACGGCTGCATGCGGAGGGAGGGCCGTGGGCGCCTCCTTGGCTCCCCCTGGTCCCCACACTCCAGTGACATTGCTCAACAAGAGACCCAAAGTGCATTCCTGGGGCAGGGCCAGCCCACCCACTCACCACAGTCCTCGGAGCTCAAAGCCAGGGCAGCGGGGACAGCGGGGTCGGGGGCGGGGTGTCCCCTTCTCTCCCCCCCAGTCATCCTGGTCAGCCCGAGGCTAGGGCGCAGGGGTCGTGTAAGCAAAGGTCCTGGGAAAGCAAAGGGTGTTCTGCTGGGTCTGGCCAGCGGTGCTGGGAGCCAGCTGGGAAGGGCCCCACTCGTCCCTATCCAGGAGGGGTGGGAGGGGACAGTGGGAAACAAACGGAGGGGAATTCAAGTCCTCCAGCTCAAACAGCTTGAGCTCCCCGGGGCCCAGAGAACTCACACAACCCCACCACCATGCGGGGGCCCAGAGAGCGTCTGCCAGCCCCTACGCCCCTCGCTGCTGTGCAAACTGGACTCTCCCCAGCTCTCAGGCCTCACTCTTCTCCCCCGCAAATGGGACCACAGGATAAAATAAAGATCGAGGGGTTGGGGCCAGCAGGTGGCGTGACGGTTAAGGTACTGGACTCCCACATGGTTGACTGCGGTTTGAGTCCCAGACCTGGCGACTTGCTTTCTCGCTTTCCCTTTTTCTCTGTCTCTCTGGTCAAATGAAAAACTAATCATACTAAGACCAGCAGATGGCAGAGTGGTTGTCACTGGACCAGAAGCTGACCGCAGTTTGAGTCCTGGACCCAGTGGCTTGCAACTCACGCCAGGTGTGTGTGTGTGTGTGCATAAGCAAGATCCCAGGAGAATGGAGGAGAAGGGATTGCGGTGTGGCCATCCCCCCAGGGAGGTGGTTTCTCACTTTCCCTCTCACTGTGTCTGTCTGTTTCTCACTTGCAACCTAAGGCAAAAATCTCTTGAAATAAAAACTAATAACAAATGGAATGAAATAGATAAATAATTATTAAAAAAAAAAAAAAAAGAAGAAGAAGGAAGGAAGACATGCACACCCCACTGCCCAGCCTCCAGCTCACTCCTGGGGAGCCTCCAGGGCTCAGCGTCAGGGTGTATACTCAGCAGGCAAAGCCCCGTCTCCCCGTGGGCAGTTTGGAAGACCCAGTTTTCTGGCCTCTTAAAGGTGTGCCCAGACCTGGCCTCCCCCGGCCCTTCCCCAGCCCCTGGGCCTCTGTCCTCAGGGACCCGCCACTTGGAGCCATGAGGTCTGGACGGCGGCTGGCTGCAGGGCTGTGAGCCCCATCCTGGCCCACCCCATGGCCTTTAGCAGCTGCTCCTGGCCTTGAGGGTTAGGACTGCGTGTGAAGGAGGAGTCAGCAGACCCCGAGGGAGGGCTGGCCGCTGGCTGTGGTGAAGGATGCTGTGGCCAGCAGTTCCCTTCCAGATCCAGCCCCTGGACCAGGTTGCCCAGTTGGTCCAAGCCCGGCCCCTCAGGGATCCTGGAAGCTCTTCCGTTTGCAGTTCCTGAGAACCAGGCCTCCTGGAGCCCATGGCAGCTTGGACTTCACACTGGGTTTGTGCTTGGAAAGCACCCGGACCTGGCGCCGCCCTAGATGTGGTGCTCCATCCTCTTGCCAAATCCCCACTCCCCAAACCTTAGCGTCACCTCCTAGGTCTTCACTCCCACGGTCTGAGGACAAGGAGCCCAGGTTTCCCAGCTGGGGAGAAGCGACTGCTGGAGTAAACGCCAGGGATATGGCGCACCCTGGTGGCAGGTGATGGAAGTGTCGCTGCCCAGCCCAGGGAAGGGATGCCCTGGCCCGGTGTCCTGGGGCTCAGGGTGAGGAAGGACAGTGCTTGGCGCCCACCTGCCCCGGTGCCCTCCTAAGCTGTTGGGCTCTCCTCCTGAAAATGCTCAAGCCAGCCCCGGCCCCTACAGTGTGACATGTCCACACCTCCCTCTCCACTCCTCCCAGCCAGGCGGTCCCCTTTCACACACAGGACGCGGAGGCCCGGGGCGTGGGAGCCTGACCAGCAAGTCTGCTGCAGCCGGGTGCAGCGGCCGCTGTTTATTGCACTGCCGTGCCACGTGCAAGGGGAAGCCTGTCCCACAAAGTCCCCTCCTGGCCCCAGCGTGCTTCTGGTCCCTGGGCTGCTGGTCACGCTTGCTGGCCCCGAGTTCAGTAACCGGCAGGCTCCCCGCCTTTCCGGGAGTCCGAGGCAGCCGCCCAGCCGCCCGCGGTACGCACAACAGCCTGCACCACCGCGATGAAGGTGGACGTGATCTGGGTTTGATGGTTTCGGGTCCTCAGGGCTGTGATCACCGCCTGGGGGTCAGAGGGGACAGGGGAAGGCCTCAGTGGAGCCCCAGATACTGTCCAGGCTGCACCCGAGTGGTCGTGGGCCTCGCAGACCCAGTGGGTGCTGTTTCCAGCCAAGCGGCCGGGAAGAGTAAGGTGGGACCCCTGGGCCGGGTGGGCCTTGTCCGACAGCTGGGCAGGGCCCTGCACGTCCTTATCGAGGAGGGGATGGGGGGGACAGTGGGACAGGAGAGGGGACTTCAAGTCCTTCAGCCCTGGAGTGGCCTGAGCTTCCGGAGGCCTGGGGAACCAGGGTACATGCCACCAAGGAGCTGGGGTCCAGGCAGCGTCACTGCTGTGCACCCCGGAGCAAGACCTGGCCCTCAGGTCTCGGCGTGGCTTGGCTATCCGTGCACAGGGGCTCAGAGTGACCCAGGCAGCAGGCGTGAGGACCGTCTGCCTCAGGCAGAGGACGCCAGCCACTCTCCTCGTCACGATGTCTGAGGACCCAGGCCCGCAACCCCACGCTGTGACTCAGTCTCCCCGCCCACCAGCCCACCTGGTCCATGTCTCGCTCCAGCGTCGTGGTGTTGGGCAGAAGCTGATTGTGCAGCCGCGGCTCCTCCACCGCCTGCTTCACGTCATAGCCAAACCACAGGCTGTGGATGATGGCCTGTGGGGAGGGGGTCGGGGTCAGCGCGGCCGAGGGGCGCGCCGGGGAGGGGGACAGGTGCACCTACCAGCGCGGTAGCCGTGGTGATCTGCGTGCCCCCGGAGGCTCCCACCACCATCTGGACCCGGCCGTCGGGGCCCACGATGATCGCCGGGCACATGGACGACAGCGGCTGCTTCCCTGCGGCCGACAGGGGGCGACAGAGTCAGCTGTCTGCCCAGGACACGGGCTCCCAGGTTCCCTGACCCTGGCCCTCCACCCCACACCTGGTTTGATGAAATTGGCTGGTGAGGGGGGTACCCCGAACTGGTTGGTGATGTTGGGGGAGCTGAAGTCATCCATCTCGTCGTTGAACAGGATCCCGCTGGTCTGGGAGCGGACCTTGGAGCCAAAGCTGCAGACCAGGCAGGT